CCCGCCCGTTCTCCAGCTGCTCGAAGGAGCACTCCTTCCCTGGGATCCGGCACATCCATCCCATCCCACCCCATCCCACCCCATCCCACCCCATCCCATCCCATCCCACCCCATCCCATCCCATCCCATCCCACCCCATCCCATGAAACATCCCATCAAACATCCCCCTCGCAGCTGGCCCCTTCCCTCCTCCCCTCCATCGCGGGGGACGGAAGAGCCGCATTTAGTAAATTAAGCAAATGCCAATGGATGTGGTGAAAAATAGGTTAGCGCCTAATGGATTTCTTTCCCCTCTGCCTGCATCTCGGACGACGTTAGTCGCCCTGCGCTCCGGAGCAGCGAGCCGGGTGCCAGGAAGGAAACGGGGAGTGCGAGGCTGGACGCCACGGCCGGGATGCATCCCGCATCCCACGCTGCCGTTTCCAGAGCACTGGATAATCTGCGATTCCGGCCTGTTTACGACCGAGGGAAGCGCCGCGGCCGCACGTTGACGCGCTGCCCGCCTTATTTACTCCTAACGATTTCACAGTATTTTAACACGAGTCCCTGAGAAATTTTAGCTGTCCCAAGGAGAATAGCTGCTTGTAACCGTTGGCTAATTACAAGTATGAATGTCAATTAATTCATTTAGCTAATTACCCACTCCATGAGCATCACGCCGTCGGAGGCGGGCATATGGCACGGGATGGGAAGCGGGGAGCCGCCCGGGACTGGGGACACGCACGGGACGGGGCTTCCCTGGCGCCACAGCCGCGGGAATACTTGGCCACGAGCCGTAATTACAGCACGGAGCCCCTCGCACCGGGGATTTTCTTCTCGGAAATAACCAGAATGATTTAGCCACATCTTGGTGTGAAAAACTGACCGCAATGCGTTAAAGGGGTTGTGTGAGGAGAGCAAGAAAAATGACTCTCCCTCCAACCGCACTCTCAGGAAGGTGGTGAAAAAATGCAAGTTTTATAGGAAACTCCCATGCGCCGATGCTCAGAGAGGCTAAAACCTTCCATTAAAGCAGGACAGGGATGTTCTTCCGGAGGGAATCGCTCGTGCGGTGCTCCAATAAATCATACGGCCCCAGTGCTCGCTCCTCCTCTCCTGCATCGTGCCGGGTATGGGATGCCTGCGCTCGGGATCATCCCCAGGGAAGCTGGTGCAATAGCCCAAGCACGGCCCTATTTCCTCCGGAGCGCTGAGTTAGGTGGCCGCTGGCTTCCCGCTTGCGCCACGTCTCCGGGCAAAGCGCTTTGATCACGAGTGGTTCACTTTGATAACCGGGATGCGCTTGGAAAAGCCTGCGAATAACATCCAAATGCAGCGCCGTCTCCCCCAAATAGCAGGCTGCAGAGTTAACGCGGTGACGTGGGGAAAATCTGCTCTTTCTTCCTTAATCTCTTGAGACTTTTCTCGCATTTTCTCCCCTGCTCTCCGGCTCGGACCGTTTGCAGAGGGCTACCTTAAGAGCGGCTGGGGATGACTGTATTTAAGGAAGTAGGGGGTGTGCGCTGGCGGCCGTCCCGGGACGCAGGCCGGAGCCGGGCCTGGACGCGGATGCGCGGCGGGCGCAGGTGC